TTTCTTTCTTTTCGCTCTCTCATGCATCATTTTTTTTCATCGCATGTTTTCCTTTTATTTTTCATGCATCATTTTCAATCAATGCATAAATCGAGGGGGAGCTTTTCAAAATTGTGTACAAGTTGAGGGGGAGCTTTTCAATTTTTATTCCTAAGTTGAGCGGGAGTATTTCAACATTGTGTATAAATTGAGGGGGAGTTTAAATAATAAAATTTTCATTCTTAAAGAGAAGCAAGTGTTGAGGGGGAGCACTTTAAATTTGAAATCAGACTGATTTAAGACCCGTTTTAATTTGAATTCCCCCGGGCCTATATAAACGATTGAAACGCGCATCTCCCCCTCCACATTTCACACTTGCGCGAAACCCTCCAACTCCCAGAGCTCAAAATCTTCATCTTCCTCCTCTACTCATACCACAGGTTCGGACATCCTTCAACTTCTTTGCGTGCATAATCTTTTGATGAACAGGTTTAGGTTTTCATGGAAGACGAAGTACAGGTAAACTGCGCGATTACAGTCCCTGCGCAAACCCCCATTGCGCGATTTAAGACTTGCGCAAAAACCAGGCGTAGCCCGATTTGTGCTTGCGCGATCTTGCTTAACCAATTTCTCACCCTTGCGCGATCGAGTACTCCTGAGCGATATAGATCTTGCGCGATCTTTCTGGGCTGCGCGATCAGACCTCTTGCGCGATCCCAACTCTTGCGCTATCTGGCCGAGCTGCGCGATCTGGGTGGAATGCGTGATTTGGGACTGCGCGATTTGGGGTCTCCAATCTCCCTTGCGCGATTGGCCTCCCTTGCGCGATCTATCTGGGACTCAGATGGCTGCCAACACTCCAATCAACATGATCTACGCTAGGGAACATTGGATCCCAATCAAGGAAAACAATTCACAGTTGGACCCCGAAGTTTTCTCTTGTCAAGATGACGTGGTCGTCTCCATTCTGAAAGGACACAAGCTGTGGAAGGCACTGAGCGAAAACGCTGAAGTCCCTCAGGTGTATCTCCAACAATTCTGGGGTACACTTGACAAGGACGTAGATGCGAATGGCAGACAACTTGATGACGTACTAGCTGCCACAATTTGCAACACCAGAGTCACAATCACGAAGGAGCTAGTCCAACAAGTGCTACAGATCCCGGAGGAGGAACATTATGACGCGTTGGCCTCAGAAGCGCAAATCTTTGAGGACATGATCACTCTAGGCCACGCTGAGCCCCTCCGGTTGATGTCCGCGATCAAGACAGCAAGATTTCCACGACCATGGAGGACACTTATGGCCACACTAAACAAGTGCTGCACATCTAAGCACAGCGGCTTCGACAAATGCAGTGGCTACCTCGTCTACATCTTCCACGGCATCGCCTTCATGAAGAACTACGACTTCACCTCACTAATCTGGGGTGACATTCTGGAGATGAGAAGACGGAAATTCGAAACTGATCTGATCAAGCATCTACCATATATGAGATGGTTTTCATTGCTGGTGCGACACTTCTGCAGAACAATTCCTACAATTCAAAGGCGCAAATCATCTGAGAATGTCAGCACTCCAGCCCTCCAATATCTGAAGAGAATGCCAGAGGTACGCTCACTGGTACCATTACCCATTCCAGTCCCTCTCCTCCTGTTAGCTGGGCGAAATGATCCACATGTCATACGCTACAGTGAGGAGAACGGTATCATACTCCCTATGGCTCAGATAAACCCCCCTGAGCCTACCCCGGGGAGTCAGCCGAGAGTATGTGAGGGTCCTGAGAGTTCAACCCGGCCACAGAGACCAGTGGCAAGCCGGCCCCATGATGATCAGACTATGTCTGCTGAGGGCCACACCCGTGCTGAAGAGTTTACCCGTGATTCGCCAAGCGTAGCCACAACACAAGACGCTGACGATGAGGGCTCTGGGAGCAAGGCTAGGAACGACGACGATGATGATGATGAGGACGACGACAATGCCAATGCAAAGGGCAAGAAAGTCGAGAAAGCCCGCGCTAAGAAAGGACGACTCGTTATCAGGCTTTCTCGGGCTACAACACAAGAGCAGTCTCACCAAATCAAAGACACTCAAGGAAATATCATCAGTGAGACTCGCTCCAAGGTGCGTCATGATCTTGCCTCATCATCTACTCCTGTGCAAAGAGTGCAAACCGCGAACAACCTGGCAGAAGAGTTAGCTTTATATGACAGCTGCTCTGACCTTGACACCATAAACCGGGCTAACCCCATAGGTGCAGAGGCTGATATTTTCAGTCTCCGAGTAGAAGACGCAGCATCTAGCCCAACTGCGCATGCACAAGCCTCACCCAGCCACTCTGCTACCTCCCAACAGGTAGTAGTTTCACATACAGGGGATCTTTTACCCACCTCGCTGCCTCCTTACGAAGCAGCTGAGGATTTACTTTGTGGTCTTCCGCCCCAGACCACTACCCCTCCTTCTAGCACATTGAGTCTAGTTTCCACCATCCCAACTTTTTCAACATTTTCTAGGACACATACACTGCTCACACCACTGCACACTACAGGTGCACTTTACTTGTCATCAACGATCGGAGATACGTCAAGGATGATCGGAAGTCCTGCTGCACAACAGATAACTCCATCATTATCTGCAGGCCACACTTCGGTAATTTTTACTGATGCTGTGACAACGGTTACTACCCCTGTAACCGGTAACCCTGACCCCACCGACCTTTCTGTCATTCTGCAACGTTTCTTGGATTCCACCATTAAACCATGGGTGCACGAAGCAATAACCGCTCGGGCACAGGAATTCAGGAACACCCCGACGTTGCTAAACGACATCACCCAACCTCAACCATCATCCTCACATACCCAACAAACCCAACCGCTTCCTATCATACCTACCCAACAAACCTCTGAACCATCCACAACCCTACCCCACTCACCTACTGCTTCAAGGGGAACCCAGGATACAGAACTAGTGTCCTCCCCTACTTCGACCTCACCTTTTCCTGACCCTAAAACTTTACCGTTCGAGGTACTCGAAACCCTGATGCTAGATCAACTACTAGCCACCGAAGAAGGCAACCTAACCCAGAAACAAAAAGACCTTCTTCGGATCCTTAAGCCTGACAGCTCATGCCGTGATAGTCTCCTTGGTCACAAACGTTCGCATGAGGACCCCGATGACTCGGATCCTCATGAGGGGGAGAACAAGAGACAAAGGACACTTGAGCGTGATGCGTCAACAAGCCAACCTTCTACGCAATCCAACCAACCTGAATCCTCGAACTATCAGCCCCCATCATCCACTCAACATAAAAGCCAATCAGCCAATCAACCCACATCTAGCCCGGTCGAGCTAGAAACAACACTCCTAGGCTCATCTTTCATAGATGTAGACCAAGGATGGAGTGGAAGTCCTGAGGTTGCTACTTCGAGTACACCTTTCTATTCAGGCCATCAGAAAGAACCTAGTTCTAATCTGATGATAACGGGCAATCCTGAGGATCCCGGTGTTTCACATGACAGGTCGCCTTCGACACAACAACAAGTTCACTCTAAGCCCTCTGGTAATCAAATACAAGATGAACTGGAAGACCTTCTAGTTCATGATCAGTGGCCTCGTGAGTGGACAGAGTGGGATGATCTTAGAGTGGAAGCGGAGCAGTACGAAATGTGTCGAAGCTGGCAACTCAGAGAATTCCTCAACAAATATCATGCACAAATGATTGGACTCGATGAAGATGAACTCAAGGAAGGGGAGAATCATAAAGAAAATCCCAAGGCACCAGAACCAGTCAAAGAAAAATGGGAAATTGTTAGAATCAAAGCCCCCTTCCTAGAAGAAATCCGAGAGAAAATCTGGCGACAACCTGAAAAAATCAAGAAGTTCAGTGAATTAAAGATGCGAGGAATCAATCACTTGAAAGGAAAATATCGAGGAGGTAACCTGTATATGCTAGGACACAGATCCACAGGGGAAAGAAGACAAGTGCTAAATCATAATCTCGCAACTAGTGGATGTCCTATATCGAAAATCCTGGATATCACAGAAGACTACTTGGAAACGATTAAGTTCCTGATCTTTCGTCTACGACGTACCGATGGCTCGGAATTCACCTGTCAAGAGAATGACTTCTTCCTACTGCACATGGATGATATTTATCAAATGTTCATGAGATGCAGGGAGCTCCCAGTGCACAAAGACAGACTTGCTAGAGAAGGTTTTGAGGCCATTAAGAGATTCATGACAAGACAAGTTCGGTTCTACGCCTCCCATGATCTCCAGATGACTCTTGAGCACAATTATTCAAAGGCGAATCTTACACGACCGGACTTGGATAGACCTGGGCTTGAAACCTTTGCAGCATATGGTACATTTGACAAGCCCATCTCAGTCATTTATCTGAATCACAAAGAAGAGAAGCGTCTGATGATTGTTGAAGACATTCAAAAATACTGTGATGGGACCCTGCAAATCATCCGAGAACAGCTCCAGCCAAGGAAAGAAGATCTAGATAAAAGACAGAATGAAGCCTCGAAAGAAGAAATCAAAGAATTGGAAAGAGTCAACAAAATCTTAAAAGCCATCGCGAAACAACTTGACAGAAGAAGGTCTCTCAGAAATTACGAGCATGCTCTAAATCTCAGAAAGCATTATTTTAAAGCTCAGAAGTGAAGAACAGAAGAAGCAAGAACATCTGATCACAAAGGGGGAGATTGTTAGAGATATTTCTATTGTAATTGTGATCAATGTTTCTTAGCTCGTTGTATTTAGCTCTTTAATTAAATAGACTAGTTAGAATAATGAATAGGCCTTTTAAGGCAATTTGTAATAAAAGGTTTTATGCCTTTTTAGGTATGGGCCTCCTAGAAAAGGGAGCCCAAATAATTGTAAAACCTACCTTTCCCGTCAGGCTATATATATGCCTTAAGGGAAAGGCTAGGTTAAGCTTTTCAATACATTCTCTGTGCCGCAGTGCCTATTTGCGTGTAAGGTTTTTACGCTAACTTTCATATCATTCTGTAAAACCTTCACCATCAATGGAAAGCTTCATTCCCAGATCTATCTTCCATACATACATTTTATAGACTAGAAAGCTTCACCATCAATGTAATTGTGATCAATGTTTCTGTATTAAGATATCTTCCCTTGACGCCAAGACTGTAGAGGTTATATGCTTCACGACAAACAACTGAAGAGATGAAGTGGCACGCAATGCATGAAGCAACAGGGAATTTGATGGGCCACCCTTGTGATAGTGAGGCATGGAAACACATTGACATGATGTATCCGGACTTCGCCTCGGAGCCTCGAAATGTACGACTTGGTTTATGCTCGGATGGTTTTGCTGCACATGGACAATATGGTGCATCATACTCTTGTTGGCCCGTCATCCTAACGACGTACAATCCGCCTCTTGGTATGTGTATGAAATATCCCTACATGTTTTTGTCGCTTATTATTCCGGGGCCAATATGTCCAAAAAAGAAAATTGATGTTTACTTACAACCCTTTGTTGATGAATTGCACCATTTGTGGGAAGAGGGTCCAGTGACATATGACGTTATGTCAAATACCATGTTCTCAATGCGTGCCATTTTAATGTGGACGATAAGTGACTTTCCCGCATACGGGATGTTGTCCGGTTGGAGTACATCAGGTCTCTTGGGGTGCCTATTTGTATGGAAGGTAACAATGCAATGTACCTTAAGAATGGACGTAAGGCATGTTACTTTGACTGTCATAAAAAGTTCTTACCACGCAAGCACCCTTATCGAAGGGACATTCATTCTTTTATAAAAGGAAAACAGGAAAGTAGTCCTCCTCTCAGGTTAACCGGACAACAAATATTTGAACGTGTTCATATGATAGCGACAGCAGTTCAGGAGCCTAATGAACTACCACAAGGGTATGGAGTCAATCACAAATGGACAAAGAGGAGCATTTTCTGGCACCTGCCTTATTGGGGATGTTTATTAGTTAGACATAATTTAGATGTCATGCACATTGAGAAGAATGTGTTTGACAATTTATTTTATACTCTAATGAACGAAAAAGATAGAACAAAAGACAATTTGAAGGCTAGGAAAGATGTAGCGTTGTATTGTGATCGTCCTGGGATTGGAGTTGCAACAGATTACACTGAGAAGCTAAACAAGGCCATGTACACGGTTTCTACTGCTACAAAAAAGTAGTTCTGAATTGGTTGGGGGGCTCTTGGCCCCGAATATTTGCGTACTGGCTCTTTGAAATCCACACATTGTGCCTCCATACAAAGTGACCCCGATAGTGAATCTATTAAGGAGGAGATGAAGGCCTTGAGGAAAGAAGTGCAGGAGTTAAGAGAACTAGCGGCCATGTAAGCAAATATGGGTCCATGGATGATTCCGTTTCTCTATCATGGGTATGATCAATCTATTTCCGGTACTCAACCACAAATGCCTCCCATGTTTCCTCAACAAATACATCTTTTTTTTTTCCTCCCCAAAATTACTATACTTTTCCCCAAAATGGTTCATCCGGTCCTCAACAAAATACATTCAATTTCTCTCAACAAGTTCCAACAATGGTCCCTAGCGCTTTTGGAGGGACCCCACAAACTTCTTCTCAACCTTCGGCCTACTACCCGATCATGTTTCCGGGTTTTAATAATGTGCAAGGTCCACCATCCATGCAACCTACAACGCAACCATTTCAATTCATGCCTATATCAACTCCAACCAACATGACTCAAGATGAAAATGCCAATTTTATTGACAATTTGTTGGCGAGTGGAGGCAGCAGCAATTTGTTGACCACCCATTCCGGCCCCAGCAGGAACATATCGTTTGCTCACCCATTCTAGCCAATCGAATTTAGGTGAACAGTAGTCACCGCCTTTTTGAACCACTAGAACCCCTTAAAAAACGCACCTCCATTTTGCCCAATAGGAAACAGTCTTATAAAAATAATTAGTATAGGAGGACCGAACGCATACGGTAAAAATACGTTACTGAAGGAACTTACTTTGACCGAGTAAATAAGGAACTCCTGATGTTGACACTTTTAGGCGGCAAACATATGCCCGTAATTCTTTTCCTTTTATATAAGGATAGATTAGGGCTGAGACCGGTTCGGTTCTTACTCAAAATGAGTGCAACCGTTATAAAAGTTTTAACTAATGAAATCGGTTCGATTCCTATATAAAAAATCAAGAACCGTTATGAAACTGAACCGGTAGTAAACGGTTCAGTTCTTCTTTTTACCGGTTCGTAGAATAATTTTTTCACATCTAAGAATTAAAACATAATTTACTTTCTACAATCAACATAAACATGTCGAAAATTCAAAATACGAGTATTAAAATTTTATTTGAAGCTTTAATCACTTCAAACATCAAAGATCAAACTTAACTAATATAATGAGCTGTGAACACTTAATAGCACAAAAAATGATTTAAATTTTCATGTAAAAAATAAAATATAAAAATCGTTGTAGTGTGAGAGCGATGAATGTTACTTGTCATCATAGTAGCAAGAATAAGACGCCTAGTTCAAGTCTTTATAAACATAAAAATACATTGAGTTCGCATGTATAGATATAAAAAACATTATTACATTCCATTGATTCATAATAAATCGAATAATTAGAAATATCATGAAAATAGTAAAGTTGAATATGTGCAATCAACTACACGTTATTTGGGGTTATTTTATATCTATAAAATTTATGTGATGGAACAAAACTTGATTTGTAGAAAGGATTTTAATGTATTATATCAACCTCATGTACAATATTTATTACTTCGTTTTCGTTGATTAAATTAGAATTGTTAGTTAAATATCTTATATTGTTTTATTATTATTGCTATTGTATTATTATACTACGTACGAGTAATTATTATTATTATTATTGTTGTTGTTGTTGTTGTTGTTAATACTACTACTAATATTTTTTTAATAACGGTTCCTTATCGGTTCCATGCACATATTTTTTATAGGAACTGGGAACCGAACCGTTATAACCCGCTTCGGTTCAGTTCCTACAAATGAGGTATTAATTGTTAACGGTTCGGTTCATAGATGTTGTTAACGGTTCGGTTTCAATTGGTTCTACGGTTCCTGGTTTTAAAATCCCACCCACACTCTTTATTAGCCTGACTGCCTGAGTCGGGAGATGCCACCATTTTAACAATTGAAGTTTCAATCTAAAAGTTCAATTTAATACGAGAAGTAACATATTATATGATGATCATTTGAATCGGAATAATTTACTCGCGTGGGATGATTATGAATAATAGGAAGTTGTACTAGCAATTAATTATAGAGAAGTTTCTGATGTTAAGAGTAAAAAATGCATTCCTCGAGTTCACAAATGAGATGTTAAGAGTAAAAAATGCATTCCTCGAGTTCACAAATGAGAGTCTCATGTATTCTAAAAAAAGTCTCACGTTTAATAGAACTAAAAAAAACTTGATCGGACAAAATTACCCTTACTGAAAACTCTCATCTCTATATTTATAATATAATAAAATACATAAAATAAAAAAATTAGGAACTTACTTCTTAACACTAAAATTGACTGAGGAGAAATTCTCTCGCTGGGGTTGCCTCACGCAACGCCTAGCTTCGTCCGCCCTCGATTTCTTCGAGGGGCGAGTTTGGATTGGTCGGTTCGAGCGGTGATTGGTTTGGAACTAGGGAAGCGGCGGATTGCAGGGCGAGGGCAGTGGCTGGTTTGCTGACAGGGAAGAGCGGATTAGTGGGTGAAGGCGGCGGCGGCGGCAGGGGGGGGTTATTTATTCAGGTACCCAGGAGGAAAGGCAGGCAGAAACGTGGCCAGCAATTCTCGGAGAACGGAACCAGAGCACAGGCGGTGGAACAGTGATGATGAGGCGGAGCCGAATTGCAAATGGAAAGTTTTGTTGATAAATATAAGCAGATGACGATCGAGGAAGACAAGGAGGAGCTGGACCTCGACGAGCTTGACAAGGAGGATATTCCGGTGGAGACAGGATCGAAGGAATTCCCGGTGATCGGCCAGGTACTAACTGATAGGAAGGTCAAATTTCCAGACCTTAAAGAATTAGGACGTTTTTACTTGGACTGTAATTCATCCCAGACCAGACCAAATCAGACCAGACCAGACCAAACCAGACCAGACTTGGATAGTTATAAAAATACAAAGAAACCAGACCAGACCAGATCAGACCAGACCAGAAAATTACAGTCCAGGTAAAAACATCATTAATGCTATCTCTGTGGCGGTCGGGGAAAGGTATGGCGGTTAAGGAAATAGGTGAAAAGGGTATCTTTTTACTATTTATCATCGTTTTGATATGATGCGGGTGCTTAAGGGAGGACCATGGCAATTTGAGCGTAGTTTATTGATGCTAAAAGAGGTTAAGCCTGATGACATACCACACAAAATTAAATGAGACTGAGTTTTGAGTTCAGATTCATAATGTTTCCTATAACTTAGTTAATCTGGGTACAGCCAGGCGTGTGGGAAATTTCATTGGGGAGTTTATAAATTATGATGACAACCAGAAAAGTGAAAAATTGGAGCCATATATGCGGGTTAGAGTACTAATGAAGGTGGATAAATCGTTGAAAAAGGGGAAAAATCTGAAAAATGATGGTAAAAGTTTTTGGGTAGATTTCAAATATGAAAGACTGCCCAACTTTTGTTTCATATGTGGTTTCATTGGACATTCACATAATTTTTGTCCTCTAAATTATGAAAAAGGCTTGGTTTTAGAAAAAAGATTTGGAATCCAGCTAAGAGCAGGAAGTGGGGTGAAGACCAGCCCTACAGGAAGTAATAAATGGCTTCTGGATGGCTCTGGTAGAACGGGTGGATATACATGGCATATAAATCGGAAGAGAAGTCAGGTGAAAAAGAGAAAGAATCAACGTCAGAATCAGCTCAAAGCATCATCAAAGAGGCAGGGGAGGAAACAAAGAGGTCTTGAAGAGAAGGAGGATCTGGGAGACTCAGATAGAGAAGGTATATGGAGAGGACAATATGGCTTTGGATGGGGCAAAAAACGGGGAGGAGGCGGGCTTTGCTATTTAAGCCAGCCGAAGCTTCTGACAATAACATGGAGGCAGCAAGTCCAAGGGACCGTTCGAGTTTGCAGGCTTGGACAGAAGACTTATCTTTTTTGTTTTGTTTGTTATTCCAGTGACTTTTGTTTCTGTTTTGTTATTTTTTTCCTTATTATTCCTGCTTGTAAGACGTTGGATTTGGATGTGGGGGATGAGAGGAATATGGTAACCGTTTTTGGCTCTTTTGTGCCCATTAATGGATCAGCGAATTATATTGCTTCTTTGGAGGTGATTAACTCTGAGTCTGGTTCGCGGGACGACGGTTGTCATGATTCTTTTTGTCGGTTTACCCATACTCTGAATTATGTGTTATCTATTTAAGCCGAATTCTTAAAAAAAACAATAAAATTAGAAACTTTGAGGTGGTCGGGCTCGACACCCTTACCCGTACGAAGGCTACCACCAAGGTGGTTTTGCGAGACTGCTGCATTGCTGCTTGTTCCTTAGGCGAGATAGCTGCCGCTTCCCATTGACGAGATTGCCACCGCCCTCCTCCGGCCGTGGCGTTGCATCACCCGTTGAGGCGCCTCCATCTCCTCTAACGAGTTTGTTGATGATTTCCGTATAAAATCAACATAGTTTTTTATCTTTATAAAATCAACAGAGTTAGGAAATTAAATTGGATTCTTTAAAAAATAGAACGAAATCAATAACAATATTAAAAATGAAGTAAGTTGAAATTCGTCAAAAAATGAAAAGGCATAAACGAAAATAGAGGCGAAGAAGTGGAAGAAGGATGATGTGTTCCCAAAATTTCGTCTTAAAAGTCTAACATAATAGGAGGAATAGCCTAAAGTCTTATACTCTGTATATTATATTATTGTTTTATAGCTTTCGAGTGTGTGACAAACTTTAATACGCCCCCACAGTCCGAGCAGGGCTGTATAAAATCGGAGTGTATATATAGGCCAAACAGATCCTTAACAAGTCATCCTTAATCATGAGTGCTAAATAAGTAGTCATACCACATCCGGACTTGGATCTGATATTATGCTAAGACTCGGGATTCCATCCTAAAAGGTCAACATATAGAAGGAGTAGTCCAAAGTCTTATACTACGTATCGTGTTTTATTGTTTTATAACTTTTTAGTGTGAGACAAATACTTTAACATGATGAGAAGAATAAAATGATTACTTGTGAAATATTGCACGCAAAGAAGAGAGCCGCACAGAAGAAATGCTATAATCTGGCATGCGTGGCCTAGCTTCGAATCATCGAGGATGGAAGAGGATATATAATATTAAGGGAGTATATTCCCATATACCCCATGGGTATCATAATTCCCGATCAAAGGCCACAAAGACACATCACAAAATAACTAAGTACCAGAGTTCTAGCCGAGCCCGAGCCCGAGCCCGAGCCCGAGCCCGACCCCGAGGATGGAAAAATACCGAGCCCAGGACTAAGCGCCAGACGACGAATCAACAAAGGACAGAAGACTCATCGGACCCCTACCATGACCCCCGAGGTTGGGAAATGCCGAGCTCAGGAATCACCCAGATGAGGCAAAATATGAGCCCGACTTCGAACACTTCGAGGTCGGTCATAACTCCGACCCCTGTGGTTGCTCGAGGCCAACCAGAGCCCAACGAAAGTCAAACACGAAGGTCAACGCTACTA